AGGCCTGCATGGCCTGCCTAGGAATCATTCACGCTCGACGGGCGCTTGTGTAGCCCGAGTCCTGCCGGGCCTGTGCCGGACTTTCGCGTCCGACACTGGAGAGGAGAGTGAAATTCCTGGAGAAAATGCTGGGGGAAACTGCTGTTTTCCGACAAGACCTGCTGCTCTCCGAATCCAGCCAGATGGCTCAGTTCGACGAAGACGAGAATTTGGTGGTCGAAGCCCCCGCTGCTAGCTGGGCGGACCAGATGGAGCACGAGGCGGCCTCACCCGACATCAAGGGGGGCGAGACCCAGTTTCTACTGGATCTAAACTGAGAGGGTGGACCAGGATTCGTCCTTCTTGTCCCTGTGCCGCCGAYCTGCTGCTAAACTGGAGGTGCAGTGGCCCGACCCCCCACCTGCTCAAAAGCCGTCGAGGTTCGCAGGGTTTTTATCTCCCGTCTGAACCGGCTGATGTGAAGCACCGTCTGCCCATGTTTCTGGACTTTGTGTCGGAGCTGACGTCTTCCTGGAGCAAACCGCTGTCCATCCGCGCCTTCGTGCCCGGACAGGGTCAGTACATGGACGTGGAAGGGGTAGACCAAGCAGACCTGGTGGGTATCCCTCCGATGGAGCCTTCTTTAGCTGATTATTTGGCTCCGTCTCACAACCAGGGTGTGAGCGGGCCCACCCTGCTCCCTTCCAAGCCCTGCAGATTCTCTTCGGTACAGCTGGAAAAAATCTACAAAAGCCCAAGGTAACACCGCCCGTGCGCTGAGCTCCGTCACCATGCTTCAGACCTACCAGGCCATGGCCTTGGCTGAACTGTTGGTCAGATGCCGCAGGAAAACCCCCTTTTACCCCTGCTGAACGAGATCAGACTGGCGTCAGACCACATCCTGCGTGTCTCCCGCTGTGCAGCGCTGGCTCTGGGGAAAGGAATGGCTTCTACTGTGGTGGCGCAGAGGCACCTGTGGCMAACGCTCTCAGACGTTCCCGACAAGGACAGAGCGGCCTACTTGGATGAACCGATAATGACTACAGGACTGTTTGGTCAAGCGCTTGATGTCATCCAAACCAAATTTGAACAGAGGAAGAAGCAGGCTGAGGCACTTCGCTGCATCATCCCCAGACGCGACGCGAGGCCCAAGGCCCCGAGCACATCCAGGTCTGCGTCTCATCCTCCTCCGTTCAAGAAGGCGGCGACGCCCAGGACTTCAAAGGCCCAGCCCGCCGAACCTTCCAGCAAGCCACAACCTCCCCATCAATCGGCATAGAGCAAAGGCCCACCTCCGAGTCAGCAGGACAGTTCAGCGGCTCGGAAGAAGAAGTCAAAGTCCTCCTAACAGCAGGACTGTCTTCACAGGGACTTTAAAAACAGAGAGACAATGTTCAGCTGCAGTTGAAAAGACATTTAAATGTTTGTGTTTCAGAAAACGGCCCCAAGAGGCGTCTGGTTTCAAATGTTCAGTCTCCTCTGTTAATGTCCCGAAAAATAAACAAAAAACATGTAGCCCCCTCCCTGGGTGCAAATTGTGTTTTTAAAATGCAAAACTTTAAAAAACAGTTCTGCAAATGTTTTGAATGTGTCATTAAAGAATTATCTTTGTGCACAAACGAACACAATAAGCTGCGGGCGACAGTCAATAATGTTGTCCCTTCCCCATCCAGTGGAGGGCAGCAGCGACACGTCTCCAACATTAAGGCAAGTCAGTCGCTTAGCATCGCGACTCCCTCTCTGGTGCGCATGGGTACAAAGAACTGTTGCTATGGGTTACAGGCTGCAGTTCCGCGTCAGACCGCCTCGCTTTTGGGCCATTGTAAACACAGTGGTGACAAACGAGGCAGCCGCCATTTTAAGAGAGGAAATTTGCACGTTGCTAACAAAGAGAGCTATTCGAGTGGTTCCAGCTGCAGAAACACAAAAAGGTCTGTGCAGCCGTTATTTTCTTGTTCTGAAGAAAGGGGGAGGCCTGCGACCTATTTTGGATCTGAGAGTGTTAAACCAGTACCTTCAAACATACAGGTTCAAAAAGTGTGTTGTACTTCGTTCCATTCCTTCACGGAACCGTGGTTGTATTCATAACCTTACTTATGGAGCTCAAACAGCTAATTCACTCGATCAGCCCGGGTGATTGGTTTGCGACCATCGATTTAACAGACGCCTATTTTCACATAGCGATTCACCCAGAGCACAGAAAATATCTCAGGTTCGCCTTCAAGGGTGTAGCCTACGAGTATCTGGTGCTARDGTTCGGTTTATCGCTAGCTCCTCGCACCTTTTCAAAGTGCGTAGAAGCTGCGTTGACTCCCCTCAGGGAAAGGGGGGTCCATCTGTTAGCATATTTAGATGACTGGGCTCTGATCGCAAGCTCCAAGGAGCAAACATTAGGTCAGCTGTCTCAGGTTCTGTCACACATTCAGGCTTTAGGGTTTTTAGTAAACACCCAGAAAAGTCTATTAACACCAAGTCAGCA